CCACCCATATTAAGGGGGCGGTGGTTATGGCGGTGGAGAAGGCGACAATAAGAGGATGGTTATTGAGGCAAGGAGGCGACGACTATGGTGGTGAAATGTCAGATCTATGGTGGAATGCGCGGCAACGGTGCTGGCCATATATGGAGGATGGCGTAGGCTGACTACGGCGCTCGGTGTAGGGGCTGTGTAGGGGCGGTGTAGGGGTGGTGCTGGCATGGAGGATGGCGGTGCATGGATGATGACGTTGGCTGACGGCGACGCTATGGTGGTGGTGGTGGAGCGGATCTAGGGTTTGGTGGAAAAAAAATAAGATTTTTTTATTTGGATGTCTACAGATGGCTGTGAGTGTCTGACGGCTAGGGTTCAAAGGAGGAGTTAGGGTTTCACGATGTCGGTGGGTGACTACGGATTACTACGGTTCCGACGGGTTTCTGTAGATGTCTACGACCAAATTTAAAAAAAAAAATCATAATTTCAATTTATGTAGAAAAGAAGGGGAAAAAAAAAGATTTTTATATAATGAAAAAATACAAAAAATGAAAAAAAAAAGAAAAAAAATTAAACATGTTCCACTTAAAAATTAAAAAAAAAATGCTAGATTGAAACTTAAAAATGTTAAATAATACCATAGTTCATCATAGTATATTTACAATCTGCTGTAATTTTGAATTTGTGAGTGAATTGACATTTTTGGAATGAATTTAATAAAATGATGTGAAGCAAATTTTAGTTAGACTTGTCATTTAATTCTAATAAGGTTTGTCACCAGAGACTCATATTATTTTTTTTTAATCATTTTGTTCTTTTTTGAGTAACTGGAACTTATATTTAAGATCCCTAGTTTTTTTAATTTGCACTATTGTCAAGTGAATTTTGGTCCAATGTTTTTTTCTTCCGATATCACAAATTATATTAGTTTTATGTTAGTATTTTTTTTACTCGATCGTGTTTTAATTAATAACATTTTAATAGTTTTAACCAGCGTTCTAAAAATCGGCCGAGGCGGCCGATTAATCGGTCTCCGAGGCGGAGGCGGTCTGAAACCTTTACGATTTTAATGTAAATATTTGAAAAATCGGTTTTTTGCCTGTGACGCGGTTTTAGGCGGTCTGAGGCGGTCAAACCTTTAAGACAGGTCAAACTCGGTGGCAAAATTTAATAAAAGAAAATATGAGTTTATGCCTTATTTTGTTTATGTTAATTGTTATTGTTAAAGAACTAATGATGTATGCCAAAAATGTTCAAGAATAAATGTAAATTCAAAAAAAATTGTTTTTTTTATTTATATTTTATAAGGATATTTATGTATTATGATCTTATAATTATTAAACTTTTATTATGTTATTAGGATACATACATGATGGAGATATAACTATGTTTAAATATCTTTTTATATATGTTTGGAGTATTTATAAATAATATTTAGAAATATATTATATTAAATTTTAAAAACCGATTTATTTCCGATTAATCACCAGCGCACCGATTAATCACCAGCGCACCGATTAATCGTGAGTCGGTGCCTGACCGACTCGGACCCGATTACCGCTTTTTACAACCTTGGTTTTAATTAAGAGCAATTATATTTACATCTAAATTTAACAAAGTGCAATGTGATTAGAAGCAAGTGAAGTATAATAATTATTAATTTCCAACCATATGTAGAAAACCCTATTACTGTTTCTCCTCTCTCGCTCGCACTCCCACTCTCTTTTCTCTCTCTAGGGTTTTACATTTCAAATCTCTCTCTCTCTCTCTTTCTTCATTTCCGATCAATGGCGGCCGCGGCGAAGACGAGGTCGACAGAGACGTTTGTGGACAACAAGCGGAAAGATGATATCCGTAATGCGAACATAGAGGCGGCGCAGTCAGTGGCGAACACCGTGCGAACGAGCCTTGGGCCTAAGGGTATGGACAAGATGATCTCCACCTCTTCAGGAGAGGTCATAATCACCAACGACGGCGCCACCATCCTCAACAAAATGGAAGTCCTACAGCCCGCCGCCAAGTTCCTCGTCGAGCTTTCCAAATCTCAGGACGTGGTCGCCGGAGATGGCACCACCACTGTTGTCGTCATTGCAGGATCACTTCTCAAGGCTTCACTTGGCCTGTTAACATCAGGCATTCACCCAACTATCGTTTCAGATTCACTCCACAAGGCTTCGATTAAAGCCGTTGAGGTTCTAACTGCTATGGCTGTACCCGTTGAGTTGTCAGATCGCGACTCACTCGTCAAATCTGCATCCACATCGCTCAACTCCAAGGTAGTCTCCCAGTATTCCACTCTCTTAGCCCCTTTAGCTGTTGACGCTGTGCTCTCTGTGGTGGACCCAGAAAAACCCGATTTAGTTGATTTGAAAGATATTAAAATTGTCAAGAAATTAGGGGGAACTGTAGACGACACTGAATCGATTAAAGGTCTGATTTTTGATAAGAAGGTGAGTCACGCTGCTGGAGGTCCAACTAGAGTCGAAAATGCTAAGATTGGTGTGATACAGTTTCAGATTTCACCCCCGTAAAACTGATATAGAACAGAGCATTGTGGTGTCTGACTATTCACAGATGGATAGGATTCTGAAGGAGGAGAGGAACTATATCTT